TAATGCAATTCAGAGTGAAGTAGACGAGAACACTTGCCTCGCTTTTCCAATATAGGTACTGCTAGCTCGAGAGAAATCATCAGGATTCAATGAGATCACAAAGTTGGTGCTCGTTGCACGTCTGATCTTGTGGGCTGCCAACAAAAGCTTGTCACTCTGCCCCTGCAGTGCTGCAGTTATCAGAGTTTGTCAACAGCATTAGAAAAAAAATCATCTATAGAGCAGAATAACAGGATGCATGACAATTTGTGACACTTGATCCCATGTTACACTTGCCATCGCAGAAAACTGAGATCACTGTCCTTGAGACTTGTTTCATGATGATTCACCGATATGATAAACTAAGAAGCATTCAGAAATTGATGGAAGAAATCTTCAAGCGGTGATATAAAAAAGGAAATTACGTATAGATTCAGAAATTTCTGTAAACTGGGTGGTGCAAGAATGAGATGAAGAAAGCCCATCTCTGAATCATCTCCGATCACATTGCCATAATATGTGAATAGTCCAAATTACTGAAGCAATTGAGTTAACGACCGTAGATCCTAAGAAGCAAGCAATGAGGCAGAGAAAGGAATTGCTTACAGGGGGTCAGACCCAGGTACAAGCAGAAGGTCGACGTCGCTCTCCCTCCTTATAAAGCACTGAATCGGGTGATCTCGTGGCCCGGGCTGATTTCAGATTGAGAACCAAATATTACAAAGACGATCAGGAAAAGATTGAAATTTTCAGGGAAAGAAAGAGATTTATACACCACAAAGCAATCGCGAAACCAACACAAATTTGATCCCAAATCTGAAAGGGGGTTGAGGCGATCAGAGACCTGCTTGAGGGGGAAAGGGAAGGTGATCTGGCCGCATTGCTCGGGGGACCTGACCACCTCCTTCGTGATGTTCCGCCACGAGCGGCACACCGCCGCGCACGCTAGCACATGCCTCCTCTCCGGCCACGCCACCTCACTCGCCTCCACTCTCTGGATCACATCCAGCAGCAGCTCCGGCGGCAGGTTCGCCCACCTCCCCTGCTGCTGCTGCTCTTCCAGCTCTTGCGGATGCGGGGCACATCCTCGGCTGTGCGCGGTCATCATACCTTCCATCGCTCCTCCTCCTCTTCTTGACATGCTCCCAATCCCATCCCTCAGCTCACGGACGAGGCTCTTAAACGACATTTCCTGGCTTCCAGACCAGAAGTTCGGTCAATTAACTGGACGAGAAAGGGGGGAGAAGGAAATCATTGGCATTTGAACAGTCTGCAAGGTAAGCTATTTTTTTAGATCTAACAGATGTCAAGAGAGAAATCGAAACAAGGAATTGCTTCTCTCTTTTTTCTTCTCGCCATGAATCAGGGAAGATTTGTAGATATCTTCATCAAAGCCTTCCGTCGGGAGGCGACGGCCACTCGGATGCCTCTGGAGTCTGAAGCA